CCCTTCTGCCTTCCTCCATGAATGTCATAGTACAGAGTTCTTGTCAGATGTGGGACCTTAGATTTCCCAGCCTCCTGAACCATCATAAATAAATCTCTGTTCTTTATCAATCACCCAGTCTCAGGCATTTTTTTCCAATAGTACTAGGGGATTTGAAATCATGGCCTCATGCTTCCTAGGCAGGCACTCCATTGCTTGAGTCACTCTACCATCCCTCAAGTATTCTGTTATAGCAGCACAAAATAGATTAATACCATATGTAATTACCATACCTGTCACCAACCATTCAACTATTTCAGCAGATAGTCATACACCTGTAACTAGAATCTTAAATGGAAAGTGGGGCCTTCTAATTCTACTCCCCTCCTCGCTATAGTATTTCTAAGTGGTGACCAAATGACTTTTACTTGAGTATTCTCAATGACAGTAAGATCTCTATTCAAATAATAGTTTGTTCCACTAATGAATTGATTCAATGATGAGAGATGACATTTTTTCTTATGTTGCACCAAAATTAGCCTCCCCAGAACTATTCACTGGTTCTAACTGCATGGCTCCAAACAATCTTAAAGAAAAAAGAATCAGAGGGAGAAAGAAAAGAGAGAACAGAGTACATGAATTAACCTCAAATTAGCCAATAGAAATGTCATTTCAACCCTTAGATTAAATGAACAAATACCTAACTATACCTGTGTGTCTTTAATGAAAGAAAGCAATAGACAAGGAAACTAAGAAGCAATTGAAATCCAACATATGAACATAAAGTTTGTATATGAAGGTGGAGGTGATCTTTCATTGATTCACCTCCCAAATATTTAGACTCCTGATGCCACCAATTTCCCCTGTTCCCATTGAACAAATGGAAGAAAAAGGTAGATTCATGGTTAAAAGTGCTATTTCAATTTATATTCCCCAATGTGGAAGATAACTCTTGTCTCAAGCTTCTGGATACATGTTCTATGGCACCAAATGATATTTTGGGCATTTCAGCTAAATCTGAGCAAGACATGCATGGTCCACTAGAACCCTAAATGTGAACAAATGCAAATGCTATGTAGAATCCTATAAGAACAACACTCCCAAGTGTACATGCTCAATGATTCTCGAGTCTCTGCATGGATGCCTCCTACCAGCCTATTCATGCCTAAAAGTGAAGCAAGAAATTAAAGTAAGTTCTAAAAGCCCATCTACGGAGAATTTCTAGAGCTCTTCTAGCCCTCAGGGACCCACCTCCACACCTGCTTAGAGGGTGGGGTCTGCAGAAGTTCTTCTAATTAAGGTAGCATGAAGTGCGCCAGGCAGTCCCATGGGGTGTTTTTCAAGAAGTGAAACCTCCTGGTAAGGCAGAAACTTTTTTGTATCTCCTTTGGCTCTGGTAAGTTTATATCAAACCAAAGTAATTGGACCAAAGCTCAAAGTAGCAGCGGATGCTGATTTCCGGTCACCTGGTGTCTATTAGAGATACCACCCCCAGGCCTGGTCTATCTCACCTCAAGTACTTGAGATCCCAGAAGCAGTGAACTGAATTTGGCAGCAAGCATCCACATCAGCCCTTGAGCCTTGGAGATTCAGGTAAGGAATGAGTTTGCTTTGTTTATTGACTAGAAGGAGATACTGGGTAAGAAACAGGATGGTTTTAGAGGCCAGAGATTCTGTTTCAATTTCAGGCCTTCCATTGTCAGACTTTCTAATAACATCGAGGGGTTACTTTAAGGCTTGATGTCCACCCACTCCCTTAATCACTCTCCCTCTCAAGAACTACCCTGGGCAAGTCAACTGTGAGTCATTTTGCAAAAGTAGTAGACTGCACCATGGACATTAAAGCATGGTTTCTAACCTGTTGGGTTCAAGCCGGAGCTTAAAGAATGGTTTCTAACCTGTTAGGTTCAAGCTGGAACTCTACCATGTACAAGCCATTTAACCATGGGTGAGTCACTAAACCTCTACATGCCCCTGCTTCCTTATCCACAAAATGGGAACAATAGCATTATCCACTGCATCATAAAGATTGAACCAGATAACATACACAAGAATTTTAAGACTGACTGACAACAAATAAGAAAACAATCAGTCCTGCCTATGTACAAACAACTCCATTCTTCTTCCTTTAACTGCTTTTGTCCATGCCAGTGGCTCTCACGGAAATGCCAGCTTTAGAAGTCATGTAGAACAGAAGCTACAAAGGCCTGGAGAGGCCAAATGGAGGATTCTACCAGTCAGCAACAAAGTTCAATCAAGCCGAGGAAGATAATGTCTTAAGCAGTGATTTAGAGAATTGGATCTAGCATCCTTGTGGAGGGGATATATTAGAAAAGAAAGTTATTGAAGACAAAAAAGTGCTAAACCAGGGAAGGAAATGAGAATCAGATTCACAGAGTAATCTTACATATAGGAAAAAGGTCCACACGCAAGATGCATTGGAGAAGTAAAAATGGCATGATTTGATCGGTGGTTGAACATGGGAGATAAAGAGCTGGAGTGAAATTTAACTCTAACTTAAGCCTTGGAAATAGAAGAAGGAGTTAAAGCAATCTGAGGCACATTGCCTGGAATAGGCCATTGACTCTGCAGCACAGTCTTTGAGCAAAACAGTTTCAGTTGAATGATTGAAAGGAACTAGTTGCCAAGTGTTGAGGAGTGAGTGGGTGGTGAGGAAGTTGGGGGAGAGAGTAGAATGCAAAGCCTTGAAGAAACTGGGGTAAAGAAAAGGGAAATGGGTGAGTATCTGGGGACATTGCTAAGATTTAAGAACTGTGGCTTTGGAAGTGGGGGACACCATGGCATATTTTAATCAGGAGCCGGGTCTGGTAGTAACAATTATTCCTTGAGTATTTAGTATTTCAATTGAAATATATTGCATGTTTTCAAAACAATAGTTGGAAATGAAAAGGAAGCTATAGAGGGGATCATAAACATAGCAAGTGGAACAAGTCCTGCCTGGGGAGGGTTGATACCCATGGGAGGGGAGAGGAGGTGGTGAAAGGGTGTAGGAGGGTGAATACAGTTCAAATAGTATGTACACAAGTATGTAAATGGGAAAACAATATCTGTTGAAACTATTCCAGGAATGGCAGGAGGGGGGCTAGAGGAGAATGGTGGAGGAGGTGAATCCAAGTATGATATATTTGATAGAACTTTTGTAAATGCCACAATATAACCCCATCCAGCACAATTAAAAAAAAAAGAGTGACACTAATTTTTAAAAGTTTGTGTATGGAGGCTTCTTAAAAATACTACAAATAGATCTTCCCTATAATACAGCAATACCACTGTGACTCAGGTTACTACAAAAGCACCTATACACCCATGTTTATTATATCACTATTCACAATAGCCAAGATGCCCCACTACTGATGAATGGATTGAGAAAATGTGGTATTTATACACAATGGAATTTTACTCAGCCACAAATAAGAATGAAATTTTGTCATTTGCAGGTAAATGGATGGAACTGGAGAACATCATCTTAAGCAAAGTTAGCCAGGTTCAGAAGGCCAAAAATCATATGTTCTCCCTCATATGAGGATTATAGACTTAAAACAAATGCAAAAATATTACTGGACATGGGTCACACACTAAGGGGAGACCACACATGGGATGGATAGAGAAATGGAAGGCAACCAAAAACTTGATTGTGGTTGATGCGCTCACTGTGTCGAATGAATATAGTAATCTTAAACTGGCAGAGGCCACTGTGTGAAGGGGAACAGGAAGTAGTGAAGAGGTCTGGCGGACATGAACTAATTTGGGTTGTAATACACATATGCATGGAAACAACACAAGGATTCTCCATGTATAGCTATCTTTATCTCAAACTAGCAAAAATGCCATGTTTTTCTTTTTATCTTTTATGTTTTTCTTTCTACAAAATAGGAGAACAAGAAGGCAGAACAGGTTCTTCCCAGAGGTGGGGGGGAGGGTAGAAATTTAAAAATATTTAAAAAAGTTTGTGGAGAATCTCTCATACATGGGAGAGTAATTTGACAATATCTATCAAGTACAAAAATTCATTGCTCTTTAACAACACAATCTCATTTCAAGGCATTTATCTTTCAAGAACTCCTCACATATATAGGAAATGAGGCATATAATATTAATTGTGGTAATTACACTGTGGTAACAACCATGTGTCCTCTACTGAATAGTCACTCATAGACTATCTTGTATATCTAAAAGGGAATAAAGATTCTTTCTAGAGAGTGAGCAGGAAAAGACTACAGGATATGTTGCAACGTGAAAATGGCAAGGTATAATATAGTCAATATAGTGCATTAAATTCTGTGTAAAAAGCAGAAGATATAAAGATAAAACTACATAAAGGTAGTTAGAGAGACAAACTAAGAGAATATATAAGAAACAAATAAGAATGTTGCCTATTTGACCCAAGTTACCAATAAGGTAGGCAGGGACAAAGTAAAATCAAAACCTACCAAAGCATGTTGTTTTGATCTTATTTTTTGTACTTTAATCATATAATGTATTACTGCTTAGAAATAAAATGAAAATTTATTTTTTTAAATGTAGCAAGGAACAGAGTTGGAAATAACTCTTTCTGCTCCATGATGCCACAAATAGAACAAGACTACATATGCACAGAAAAACCAATGTACTGAGTGAGCAAAGATCTTGGTGGAAGGAAGAGGAATGGAATACAAAGGAATAGGAAGAAGATTTACCTTCAGAGATAAGTGCACAGGAGGCCAAATGGATAAAAATGCAAAGTTATTTTGAGTGGCAAAGCAGGGAGCTGAGATAACAAAAATTAAGCAGCTTTGAACTTCTCAGTACATGTTGGAGTTATTGGACCTAAAAGTCATTATTCAAACCAAAACCCTTAGAGATTGTGAAAGCTTCTTCAGGGATGGACATGGAAATGGTGGTGCCTTCAAAAATAAAAAAGAAAATGCAGAAGTTGCTGTGAGTGATGAAATGATGTATAATCAACTGAGTCTTGATTTTAGTATCAGTAATGATTTTAATATCAGTGATGATTTGAATATCAGTGAAGATAAAATCCTATCACATTTTGACTAATGTCGTCAATTACCCTGACCTACCAATTAGTCTTTGAACACAGCTGTGAGTTGAATACTATTTAAATCATTGTATATACTTTTTAAAAATAATATTGCAAAGCTGTGTGAGTATACTATATCCTTAGGAGTATGTGGTCTAGTTTTCATTTTATGTATTTCCATGGAATGAAACTTTTCACTGCAGTCAGCTACAATGCCTTGGTGTGTGTGTGTGTGTGTGTGTGTGTGTGTGTGTAATATTGTGTGTGTGCAATATTGTTACCATAAAAATGAAGTGTTTATAAAATACTATTTTATATTCGTATTTGTTGAAAACTTTATACAATTATAATTGCCATAGCAAGATACTACTTTAATAGAAAAATAAAATACCCACCCTGTCCATCATCATTGGCCACAGACATAGTTGCCGAGGAATTTGCCTACGCAAAAGGTTTTCTCACCAATAATAACAGCCTTCATCAGCAACTGGCAAAGAAAAGTGATTAAAACAATTGTAGTCCAATCAGCTACTTCAGTACAAACAATTAATGAACTTTGCATTTTAAATTATCTTCACTAAAATTATTTCCCTGTAGAACAGTGTAGTGACTTCCAGCTCATTCTGTACTTACCAAGGGGCCTTGAGCAAATTATTTCTCTGAACCTCCATTTCCACATCCTCAAAAAGGAGATACAATGCCTACTTAGGAAGGTATGAGGAAAGTTGGAAGTGAAATACCCAATATCCCTGGTACACAGTAAGTGCTCAGGTAAACAACTGTAATCATCCAATCTACCCTGTGGTACACAGAAAACACTGACAACACAGCCACAATGAATGCCTTTAACTTTGGCACTAGTACTGAGTATGTGGTTTTTACTGAGGCATGTCACAACCTCTGGCTACAGTTTCCTATTTATGAAATGAACAGATTGGTTATTTGAGGTTTAGCTCACTCTAGAAATTCTACCTGTTGACCAAGATTCATTTACAAACTCCTTAATGGACTACAGGATATATATATCCCTTTTGGTTGGTGATCTTGTGGGATGGTGTGTGGTACAAAGCAGATGCTCAGGACCACATGACATCTGGTATAGGACAAGAGATAAATATCCATCCAAAGCTTCTTTGTTTCCTTCCAGCCCATGTCCCACACAAATAATCTGTTTTCAATTGCTTTATAGTCATCCAAATGACACATATATTTGAAGGAGAAGCGTGAGGTTCATAAGGAAAGTCTCCTTTTCCCTACAGGAGACAAAGTAGCCTGGTACCACGGACACCTCATTTGATTGAGGCCTCATTTCTAATCTTTAATGATTATGTAACTTTACTATGCCCATGTTCCCATTCTATAAAATAGAAGAAATGATCCATCCCTTGTCTACTTTATGAGACTGAAAAGAGATTCTTAAGTAAAATTTCTTTGTAACTCTAAAATAGGTACAAATGTGAACTATCCAAAAGCCTATCTTGTAGCAGACTTGCAGCTACCCAGCACAGTGTTTCTTTAGTTAAATAAGCAGTCTTGATTTCCTAGGCCTTTCACATGAGATAAAATCAATAAAGACAAAACCAAGGTGTGACCCCAAATTGGAATTTCCAGGGCCCAGGAAAAACCTAATAGAATCCATTTAAGTGGTAGACATAAACAATGAAAAGCAAAAGAAAGCACCAAATAAAGAAGGCGCATAGTCTTAAAATATTGAACAGGGAGGACATTGTTAATTGTGTTCTCTTTTCAAAAATGAACAACTCATGTGTAATAACAAATAGCATTCAGTGCACTCTTCCTATGGACTGGGCACATTCACATATGGCAACTCGTTTGTTTCTTACAATATCCCTGTGAATAGGGCATTGTTCTTTTCATTTTACAGATGGATAACATAGAAACTAATGCTCAAAAAGGTAAGAAAATGAACAAGAATAGTAACAAAAACAGTAATATTTTTTGAGACATGGGAACTTTATGTCATTTATTATATCTTCAATATTATTTATTAAACTACAAATTCCAAACATTATTTTAAACAAGTAATTAAATAAGGTAATTTTCCACAGTAATAAGTGCTCTGACCCAAAATAGGTTGTAGTAAGGAAGACAGAGAAAAGGAGGGTGTGTGTTATAGATTAAGAATTCAGGGAAATCTTCTCTGAAGAACTTCAGAGCTACACCTGAAAGAAAAGACATCAGCCCACTTATGTCTTACAGCAACCTGTAAGATGAGAATTTTTACAGCTACATGAATTTAAGAACTTGTCCAATGTCTCAGAATTACTGTTTAACCCCAGATGAACTGACTCAAGATCATGATCTTAAATGCAGCATTAGAGAGACTTCTTAATGCGACTTGTTCAAGGTTTAAAGTTAGAGCTGAGAGAGGCCTAGAATCAGCCCCTCCTGATTATAAGAACAGTACTTATCATATTCTGATATAATGCTCGGACCCATCACAATACTCAGTGACAGAAAGGCAAAATAAGAAGTCAATAGAAAAAAAAAAAAACCACTTCCCAGTATTAAAGCTTAAGTACAGCACCCAAGGATGAGAACTAAGACATAAATGAGTGGTAGAGCACTTGCCTAGCATGAGCAAGGTTCTGGTTTCAATCCTCAACACTGAAAAAAGGGAGAAGAGGAGGAACAGAAAGAGGAAGAGAAATAATAATGCACATGCATGGTAATTTCTCAAAAGGTAAAGTATGTCACAAACAAAGTTGGCAGAAATACTGCCAGAGACTCCTAGGTTCGTATGTCATTGCCTAAGGCAGCCCCTCCAAGTCCTTTTTTAGAAATTGGCAAAAGGCTTTGTCTCAAATCTAAGGTCACTAGGAAGAATCCATGTCTACCCTCAGTGACACCCACAAAGGGAATGCAAGAGAAGCTTTCTAATGCATGACAGAAAATGAGATTGCCAAAAAACTTTGTTAATGCTCTCCTCATTTTATCATTTATTTTTAGGAGTTTTGAAAACAAAATGACAACGCCCAGAAATTCAGTGAGTGGAATTTTCCCAGTAGAACCCACAAAAGGCCCTATTGGCATGCAACCTGCTCAAAAAGTAAACCTCGGGAGGATGTCTTCAGTGGTGAGCCCCATGCCAAGTTTCTTCATGAGGGAATTGAAGGCTTTGGGGGTAAGTTGGTCACCCTCAGTTCCACATCCTAGAGATTCTCTGGCCTGCAGTAGCTACTGCTATAGGTCATCAATTCAGTCCAACTTGAAGGGGAGTGATCCAAGTATGCTCTTTATGTCTGACAAGTGACCAAAATCAGTGTGGTACCAAAAAGAAGACCTGGATCACTGCAGGGAGATCTTATGTCACCTTTGGTTTAAAAGCTTAAGAATCTTCCATCCCAGTCCATTGCTAGAATTCCAGACAAAGCCACTCCTTGGAATGCCCCCATGTGGTGCACTTCCTGAATAAGAAAAAGACAAAATCCTTGCCCTTGGTCTACCACTTCCTTTAGGCATTTTACATGACCTCAAGCCAACTCCCAGGCTACCAGCCTTACCTTTTGCTTTCTAGTGATATGATTTCAGTTCACATTCAGCTCCCCTCTTCTCTCCCCAGGCTGTCCAGATCATGAATGGGCTCTTCCACATTGCTCTGGGGGGAGTGTTGATGATTCCCATGGGGGTCTATGCACCCATCTGTGTGACTGTGTGGTACCCCCTCTGGGGAGGCATTATGGTGAGTAAAAATAAATAATAACTATTTGTGAAATGGTGAAGGAGAAAATGCTACAAATACCCAGGATATAGAAGAAAGAATATGGGCAGGAAATGGGTTAAAATAATTAAGTGGAAAGAGGGTTTCACTAAACTGCATTGAGTTCTATGGCTGAGCCACAAGGGTGATGCTTCATGTGAATTCAGAGAAAGATGCTCTATGTGGATCTATACAGGGAATGGAGAGTGTTCAAAGCAAGGCCTCTCCACAGTCAATTCTGATAGAGAAGGAAGCACTAGATACTTGATATTTTGGCAAGGAAGAGAAAACAGGAATACCCCATGTCCTCCCATCTGCTCCTTCCACCCTACAATTCTGCTTATTTACTCTGCACCTGGTGAAATTAGTCCCAACCCAAACATATCTCCTTGTGTTTATGAGCACAGCAACACTCCTCTGGGCTGTTTCATGTACATGTTTTCCAAACTAGTAGACCTGTCTGGATGTGGCATGGGGCAGTGATGTTTGTTTCCCCCAATTACATTTCTTGTGGCTGCCACTGTAAGGGAGATGAGAGATAATCACCCTTACTACCTGTACTGACCAAAATTTTAATGAAGTTTCCACCGCAGTCGGGCTAAAGATTTACTTCTACAATGATTTACTTTTCATTGGCATAAAATCCATTTAAACCGCTGTGAACCCCAAGAAACATTTTCACTAGTTAAAAAGAAAAAAACTGAAAACTTCTGAATTCACTCTGATATTTTCTTACCTATGCTATAGGAGACATTAGCCCTAACGGTATTTTGAAAGATGTTGCTAGGACTGATCACAACTCAGTGATCTAAATTGGAAATAGGGACCCTTAAAGTGCTTTGGAATCAGAGAATCTCAATTTTATAAAAGAAAGTATACTCCACGCTGCTGGTTGTAATTTTATTCATGAAAACTTGAGCATGAGAGCTGCCAGAGTCTGTCCATGGAACCAGAACTAAAGGCAAAGTTATGAAGACTACTTATGGTCTTGTAAACATAAAGTGCTGTGTGAAAACAATAGGCCTTTTGACACTTTTTAATAGAATGATACAACTCAGTGTCAATTAGGAGTAAACAAGGTTATTGTTGGTGCTTCTTTTTGTTTCTTTTACATGGCACAGACTCAGAAGGTTCTGTTTGGTGTTTTAATTGACAAGGAAGGGTGAGTTCTGTCTCTGTGTTTATAATATTCCTCATTACAGGTCCCAAGATAGTTGAATAATATGGATTGAGTATAGATGAGCCTGAGTAAATAAGGAATATAACTACTAAAAAAAGAGTGAACCTGAGAAAATCTGGCACAGTTTAGTGAAAGTAACTGAAAATGTAGATGGCTTCCTCATGACCAGTTCTCAATGATAAAAAGTGATCTCATTCTCTTACTCTCTCTTCCACTTCTCCCACCTCCTCCCCGCTTCACTTCTCTTTTTACAGTATATTGTTTCTGGATCACTCTCGGTAGCCATGGAGAAAAGCTCCAGGAAGAGTCTGGCAAGTAACCGTATGTCCTATCTCACATGTCAGAGAAATGTCTATTATCTAAATTGGAAATAGGGACCCTTAAAGTGCTTTGGAATCAGAGAATCTCAATTTTATAAAAGAAAATATACTCCACACTGCTGGTTGTGATTTTATTCATGAAAACTTGAGCATGAGATCTGTCAGAGTCTGTCCATGGAAACAGAACTAAAGGCAAAGCTATGAAGACTACTTATGGTCTTGTAAACATAAAGCGCTATGTGAAAACAATAGGCCCTTTGACACTTTTTAATAGAATGTCATTTCTCCCAGACCACCATTTAGGAACTTCATATGATTGTTCATTGAACAATATAACTGATTCAAATTCTAGTCAAGTTAGAAACTTAAGTAGCAACCTTGCATAAATCAGCTTATCTCTATTTACCTCTGAGTTTTCACCTATAAAAGTACTAGTCCTGAGTACCATAGGAAATCTGCATGAGGATGAAATGGAGCGATACCTGTGATGGAATTTCAGAAGCTGTAAGCAGCTACAATGTGGTCTTGTTCATATAACATCTAGAGACTCATTCATACAAAGAAAAGAAGCTGTCTTGCAGTACTAGCAATTCTGGGTGGGTGAAGATGAGCTTACCAGCAAGTTTCTATCAATAAAGTCTTCTCCCTGCACTTTCTTTCACTTACTAAGCTGAGTCACTTTCATTCAGTGAGAGAATGAGTAGATGGAGATGGTTCTTCCTTAGAAATGGTGTGACAAACTCTGAAACTGTTTATGAAGATCAAATTATTCTGTTCTGCAAATACAGCCTTGCCATCTGTAGGTCACACAGATAGGTATTAATCCTGTTTCATAAAATAATCAGTAACGTTATACCATTATGGTATCTGTCACAGACATTTTCCTATTTCAACCTTTTAACATCCTTGCAAGGTAGAACTTTCATAGCCACATCCTCTCACCTATTCTACCCTGAAATATCAGCCCTGATAGTATTTTGAAAAATGGGTGACTGTGGCTGATTGTAACTTTCATCAATAAGGAGAAGGTAGTAATATTATCAATGCTGCTGCATTTTGTTTCTATTTGGTGGAACAGAATTTCCCAGTTTGTACCCACAATACCATTCCACTTAAGTGTGATGTAAAAGTTTCCTTTTGTCACTCCCCTCTGCCCTCTTGGGCAGAGACATAATAATCTGGATGCTGCTAATCTTCACTCAACAAACATTTGCTGAATGCATACTAGGTAGCAGGGGAGGAAATGCAAGGATAGGAGACATAAGAATTTAAGGATTGCTCCTAGAATTTTGCTTTGGTAAACTGAATGGATGACAAAATTATGTAATTAGATAGGGAAGAAAGACTGAAAAAGGAGCAAGTTAGAGAGAGCTGAAGATTCTATTTTATAGTGACAAAGAGACTAAAAGTCTCAGAAAGAACTTTAGTCTGATTTGGGTATGGTTCTTTGTGAGACAGGGGAATGGCATTCCTAGATTATATTCCCTAAATGGAAATCAAACCTAACTAATAAATCTCTTTGCCTCTGCTTCAGGTCCAAGTGAAAATAGTAATGAACTCACTGAGCCTCTTTGCTGCCATCTCTGGAATAATTCTTTTGATCATGGACATACTTAATATTAAAATCTCTCACTTTTTAAAAATGGAGAGTCTGAATCTTATTAAAACTCCCATGCCATATATTAACATATACAACTGTGAACCTGCTAATCCCTCTGAGAAAAACTCCCCATCTACACAGTACTGTTACAACATACAAACTGTGTTCTTGGTAAGTGTGAAACTGAATTTCTCTCCAGGAAAGAAATGTGGCATTTTTATTAGTAGTATCTACTCTGGATCCAGACTGTCTCAATCTGCTACTTATTGCCTATGTGTCTTTGGGCAAAAACTTCATCAATAATTTGCCTCAACTTCTTCAACTGTAAAATGGTGATAGTAACACTACTTAAGATTGTTTTGAGGAATAAATTACCTAAAATATGCAAAGTACTTAGAACAGCGTCCGGTATATAGGAAGTACCACCTATATGTTTGTTCTAACATTAATTATTACCAATATCATTAGTGGTATTAATCTTTATTAGTATTATTAAGATAAACATGGAAGAAATTCCTAAGGTGTTATGAACATCTTTTCTCTTAAAGAGTTATTACTGTAGAATTTGAAGGGAAAAAACCTTATCCCCTGAAGTGTGGAGAGGTTTCCTTGATTTCATCCATGCCATCTAAAGCTGGACACAATTTAATTTGGGCTCAGTACTTATTCTTCACTACGTAGATTAATTATTCAGCTGATTATTCCTGCCTTACTTTCTCATGCCTGAAGTTGAGTCAAGCATTTGGCTTATAAAGACATTATCCCTAGCTAGTCATTTCTTACCTGAAGAATTGATCTTTTAATCATTTAATTTTAGTCAACAGCCATTTACTGAGCACCAACTGTGTTCTCTTTTCCTTTATTATATTCTCATCTCCATTCTTATGTTGTATTTCAGGGCATTTTGTCAGTGATGCTGATCTTTGCCTTCTTCCAGAAACTTGTGACAGCTGGCATTGTTGAGAATGAATGGAAGAGAACGTGCTCCAGACCCAAGGCTGTAAGTTGGAGCTACTCTATCTGTAACATCCCTCTAAAAAATTCATATCCTATCCTTTTCACCCAATTCCTTTTCCAAAACAGCAGGTTTTCAAAGAGTCCCCAAAAACAACAGCTACAGAACCACAGACTGTTAGATTTAAAATAGAGTTTAGAAATCAGCACATAAACCACTAATTCCTTTATTTTGTGAATGAGGAAAATAGGATTAAAGAAAGAGAGAAAATTATTTTTCCATGGCTATAGTCACTAAACGAAAATCAGAACTGAACTCTAAACTCTTCTGTTTTTGATGCACCCTCTTCCCATGTCGTGTGACCATTCCAGGCAGAGTGGCAAATGCTTGCAGCCCTTGAGAGTAGGCTCAGACTTGAGTTTTGATAGAAAGTAAGTGCTCTGATACGAATTTGACCACTTGAGGAATTCTGGTATCTGGAGGTGAATAAACATAAATGGCATTAAAAACTAGGAGTTATTTGATAAATATTTGTAGAGATGATAGAGAAAGGTAAAGATCAAGAAAATTTGTTTGTGTTCTAGAATGTGGTTCTCCTGTCAGCTGAAGAAAAAAAAGAACAGACAATTGAAATGAAAGAAGAAATGTTTGAGCTAACTGAAGTGTCTTCCCAACAAAAGAATGAAGAGGACATTGAAATTATTCCAGTCCAAGAAGAAGAAGAAGAGACAGAAATGAACTTTCCAGAACCTCCCCATGATGAGGAATCCTCACCAATAGAAAATGACACTTCTCCTTAAACTCCTTCTTCTCCTTTGTTTCCTTTTGTAAGCGTCAGTGTTTAGAGTTTCCTTTGGGCATAGCTATCCCATTTCTTGAGGTACTTCATACCTAGTCTCCATATTTTCACCTGTTCTTTGCATGAAACAACCTCAACCTCCTTTCTCATTCAATAATAAAGGAGATAAAACATGTCTCTGTCTTTGTAAAGCTCTTAAAATTAGCTCTAAATGAATAAAACGTTGCGTTCTTGTCTGCAACAGATTATTCCAACGTGGATGTTCTTCTTGACTTTTGTAATGTCTAACTACGAGAGGTTCCTCTAGCCTTGAGTTCATAGCCCAATCTAGGTTTGAGCAGTGAACTATCAAGTCATGAATATTCATGTTAGGATATTCTTACGCTAATTCCAAGGAAAAATTTCACAGACCATTAATAATGCATTGCTTACTCTTAGCAATCCACAATATGACTCTCAGCATCCAATACAAACAGGTGCGCCTACTTTGATCACAGAAGAAAAAGCAAGACAATGGCAGGTTCATGGAAAAACCACTAAAATCAAAAGACTTTGAAAATATAAGATTTAATTTCTAAAATTCTCCACTTCTGAAATATGTTTGAAAATCTCTCTCAAAACTTATAGTTTCCTTAGGAATTTCATTTTATTCCTTTTTATGGTCTCGAGTAATTAGATTTTACCAAATTCACGTAATTCCTTATGAGATGTCTTTAATACAAAAGAATGAAATTCTTGTTATGACCTTCACAATGATTCCTTTATCAATGTAGAATCGAATAACTGGCCAATAACAAACATTCTTAGCCCTGAAGTAAAAGATATATTCTCTGGCTTCAAATTAGTTTTTACCTCTCAATTTTTATTTTTGGAAAAATAATTTTCTAGCCATAAAGGAAGCAAACTTTTAAAAATCGATTGCACCCACTGACCAGGAGAGCTGTTTAACCTCTTAAAGTGTTACATTTTTTAAAATCCTTCTTTTTTGTGTTTTGGGTATTTTCTTTTTTTTTATTATTGTTGTGCTGGGAGTACACTGTGACATTTCCAAATTTCTTATATCATATTTGAATTCACCCCTTCATCATTCTCCTTTATCCTCCCTCACCCCAATTCCTGGAATAGTTTCAACAGGTCTATTTTCCACTTACATACATGTGTAACAGTATTTGTACACAAATATTGCCTATCCCCACATCCTCCCCACTTCCACTGATACCAACCCCCAAACAGGACCTGTTCTTCCGATTTTGTTTAATAAAAAAGAGACATTTTTGTGTAAGATAGATATACATTGGTTTCCTTATGACATTTCCATGTATATACATATTATAACCCAAAGTAGTTCCATCTCCTCTATTTTTCTCCTTTCTACCTTAATCCCCTTCTTAGGGTGATTTCAACAGGTTTAAAAATTCTATATACATTCTTGTAGAGGATAATCCTTCTTCACAGTAGCACAATCCACCATCCCAATTTGGATGAAAATTTCCAGATCTGAAGGATTTCCTCCAGTGAAGGATTTTTGATGTTAAAATCAAGATAAGATACTGATCTTACCTTGGTAGTTCATAGCTCCATATAACCTCAGCAAGTTTCAGTCACTGAATAATATAATCTATTTTTATATGCAATAATATATCATAGGTTTTTCTTTATTAATATATCATCTTCACAAGCATCATATTGCAATAGAATTTCATGAACCAATATGGATCAAGTCACCATTCTACCACAATTAAGCAATACAAAGGTCGATAAATTGAGCATCATAACTTAAAATTTTTGTGCTTCAAAGGACACTTTTTAAAAGAGTAAATACAAACCACACAAAGGGAAAAGCATTTGCCACTCATATATCTAACAAAGGACTACTTTCCGAATTGCACAGAGAAAACTTACAACTCAACAATAAAGACAAATAACCTAATTAAACATTGGCAAAGTATTTGAATATAGATTTCTTCAAAAACATACAAATGACAAATATGCACTTGAAAAGATATTTAAAGTCATTAGACACTAAGAAAATAAAAATCAAAACCACATTCATGATGATGCCTATCATCAAAACAAAAATGAACAAGTGTTAGTATTTGGAGAAATTAAAATTTTCTTATAGTGCTGGTGGGATGGGGAAATGGTACAATTGCTTTGAAAAAGTATTTGAAAATTCCTAAAAGTTCTAAATGAAAAGTTAGCATAAGACCCAGCAAGTTTATTACTGGTGGATAGATGCCCAAGAGAACTAAAGATGTGTGATTACACAAAAATTTGTATACAAATGTCCATAGCCATAATAACCAAAAGGTGAAAACAGCTCTAAATCCTACCAACTAAAGAAAATATGATACAGGGTTACAGGAATGGAGAAGCGATCCCAGAGGACAGTGACGGTGTGAGGAATGCTCATATTTACCTGCCAGAGAAAATGCAACTAGTGAAGATGAAACTGAGGACATCTAAGGAAGTCATAGATAAACCAAGACACTGTCCTGTACTGGAAACTAAGGAAGGGCAAGTGTCTAAAAGGGCAAGGAAGAAGCCTGACAGTGTTGTTCAGAAATTCTGAAGAATGAGAATGGAGGCCACTGGTTCAGCAGTTAGGAGGTCATTGCCAGAAATAGCAGAGACAGTTTTTAAAAAGTACTAATGAGAAGAGACTGTAATTCATTAGAAAATGAATGTGATGTGAAAGCATTCAAACTGTGAGAACAGACTCTGCTTTTAAGATGTCTGATCATAAAAGAAATGAGACAGATAATTCAGTACTTTGCATGGAACTTGGGGCAAGATATTCCTCAGAATACAGAGAGTCCAAAGCCTGAAGGCACAGATAGGTATAAGGCTACATTCATTTAGCCAATTGAACAAATACTTATCAAGCACTACCATGTGACTCCATTCCACAGGAAGGGGATATAGCAGAGTGAATAACAGACAATATTCCTATCTTTGTAGAGTTTATAGAGTTCAGATGTGTAGTCTGCTTCTCACTAGTGAGTGCTCAACAGGATGATGTTGTTTTGGGTACCTACATAGGCTCGGTCATTTCACTTTCAACTTATTAATATTTGGATAACCTAGTAATAATAGCATGTGGCTTTTACAATGTTCTTGATCTTCAACACCATATTTGCTTGGCTTTGGTAGAAATAACTTCTGTGGCCAATATAGTAAAAATAAATTTGTGAACCACCGCAATGATGACAAATGCACTACTACTCCATGGACCAGCTGATGCATCCAGGGTCCTAACGTGTCAAAGAGCTCTCATCCTGTGATTACTCTGGCACCAGTTTTTTTTTTTTTTGGGGGTGGGGGTTGGTTTTTTTTTTTAGCTCCTATAGTCAAAGAGCTACCCAGTGACCTATCCACAAGTCTCTGTTCTTTTCTCTTTGGAGGAAACGAAACTTGTTAAAATTATACTTTTACATTTTACAGGAAACAGCTGCAACAAATCTAAGTTTATGACAGGAACAATGGGCATCAGAAGAGGGTAAAGACTATTAAAACTTCTTAAATGAGATAGGCACAAAATTTTTCTTTTAAATAATCTCAAATTTGCTGCTTGTCAAAACAGCAAGCTAAGGTATATATTGGATGGATTATTTGCAGACATTTTGACTGTCAATGTAGAACTGCAAGAGACTTTTAAAAGGCTTCTCTTTCCTAAATCTTCTTGAAAATTTTGTAAGTAGGAAAACTGAAAAAGACGAACTTGAATAAGACAATCATTACACAGTGGGGGAAGAAGAGAGTAGATATAAGCTGAATTGTGCTCTGTATTTTAATTTACCAAGACAAGCAAGTAGGAGAAGCAGGAAGTTCATTAGGACATAGAGAAGCCGCAAGCCACGAGCACAGGGAGTGTTGCTGCTCCTCCAGTATGAGGGTTGGACAGGTTTACTGTATAAAGCAAAGTGAAAACAAAGCAAAAGTGCCCCCTCAACAGGAAGGGGAGCAGGCTCAAGAAGGAGGGACGTGCTGGAAGTCCCAAAACCTCAGACTTTTATTATCTGTAAAATGGAGGTGGTCAGTCCTGGAAAACTGTTTTATGTATCATTAACTCTCAGAGACTGAGCTATGTGTCATCCCACATGTCAGGTGGGAGGAGTTTGAACTTGGAGGGTCAGACTGGGGCTGTCATTTTTTGTGGGCTCCAGAGGTTCTCAACTCAGCAAGACCCCATTTTATGTCACAAGCTTTTTTGTTAAATTCAATACTCCAGGATGTGATTTCTTATCAACATCTAAGCCATGGTTCTAAGCCATATTTCCTAAATTCCCTGCTTAGTCCTCATCATTTTTAAATCAGTGATTTTTCTCTTTTTTCCTCTCATTTTTGCTACATATTAATTGTACAAAGAGGGTTCACTGTGACATTCCCATACAAGAATATAACATACTTTGATCAAATTCACCTCCTCTATTACTCTATACCCCGTCTCCCTTTTTAAAACAATTTAACAGTTTTCATCATTCTATTTTCATACATGTATATGAAGTACATTGATAATTTTCACCCCATACACACCTTATTCATCTTTTTCTCTCCTTTCACCTTCCTCTCTTGCTGGTTTCCACCCCTAAATAGTCTCCCCATTTTATACTTTTGTGATTTTTAGGTTTAGGTTCTACATGTGAAAGAAAATTTGTGATATTTCTTTATCAATCTGGCTTATTTCACTTAACATGATGATGTGTAGTTCTGTCCATTTTCCCACAAATGACATAATTTCATTCTTTTTTGTGGTTGACCAGTACTCCATTGAGTATATATACCACATTTTCTTTATCCATTCATCAGTTCAGGGACACCTACACTGATTCCATAGTTTGGCTGTTGTATGATATAAACATGGGTGTGCAGCTATTTCTGTTGCATGCTGGCTGTACCCCTTTAGATATATCCCCCAGAGTGGTATATCAGGTACAGCATATGGTAGCTCTACTTTTCATTTTTCGCGGAATCTCCTTACTGATTTCCATAGTGGATGCACTAATTTGCATCTCCACCAAAAGTGTCTAAGGGTTCTTTCTCCCCCACATCCTCACTAACATTTGCTGTTGCTTGTTTTCTTGATGACTGCCACTCTGAATAGGGTGAGATGGAATCTGAGTGTCATTTTGATTTGCTTTTCCTTTATAGCTAAGGATGTTGAACATTTTTTCACATAATTATTGCTCATTTGTACTTCCTGT